GAAAATTAGGTTGCAGATGAGGAGGAACTTTCTGCCTATTCGGGTGGTCAGGCATTGGAACAGGTGCCTAGGGAAGCTGGGGAATCTCCATCCTTGGAAATTTTCAAGAGCAGGTTAGACAGACACGTAGCTGGGATGGTCTAGTTAGGGACGATGTTGCCTTGAACAGGGAACTGAAGCTGCCCCAGCTCGACCCTGACCTTGTCCAAGCTGGCTTTGTGCTGCAAGGTTAACAGGTTCATGTGCCCAGCAGCAGGTGCCACGGCAGAAAGCCACTGGGTCATCTCCTAGCAGCAATCATGTGCTTTGTGGCTTTTACAGCCCTTGCCTTTCCAGACATGACTTGGCTGCAAGGAAACTGTGTGGTGACAAAGCGGCTCTGCCTGAACAGGGACAACACGGAGGTGTGGAGATCAGCTGCATTCACAGCCAGCACCAGGGCAGGATGCAAGGACTGAAGAGTAGAGCCACCTGTGTGGGTCCTCTGCATCCCCAAGTCCCTGGGATATATGGGCTTTCAATGATCAGCCCTTCTCTCCTGGTTGCTGGCAGGGCTGGGCAGTATTCAGAGGAGCGCCTTGCTCCCCACACACAGTGGCTTTCCCATTCCCTCCATCTCAGCTGGTCCCATCTTTAAAATGTGGGCTTCTATGGTGGCCTCATCCAATAACCAGGCATGTAAAGCTCATATAGCTATAAAGAACAATTTGTGGAAGAGCTAGGAGTCAAACTCACGACCTCTCCCAGTTGAACTAATAGTAGACTACCACTATAACTAGAAGTGGTAGGAAAACCTGACCATCACCATCACTACCAGCTTGTTATATTATTGTAAACTGCTAGAAGCCCAGTTTAAACCATGGCTGTTGCTCAGGTTTAGCGCACTCAGATGTGGACCAGGCCTGAGCATCATGAAAGAGCTCAGAAGAGGTCTCCGTATCCCAGCCTAGTGATGGGCAAGGAAATTGCTTGCACTCGTTACTGATGGGGTTGTGCCACATCTACTTTCCTCTCTGCTACTGGTGGTAGGGTAAGGCAAGGTAAAAGGTGTTGACAGAGACAGAAGGTCAGATGGGTCTAATGGGAAGTGCCATCCACATTATCCCTGATGACAATGCACTGCTTTGCATCTCAAATGCTTCATGAACACAGGCACACAAAGTCACAGTGACAAAAGTTGAGTAGTGTCAACTCAGTAATGAAAAATGAGGCACAAAGGGAGGCTCTAGGACTTAATTCAGAGGACTGAGGCTGGAAAGAGAGCCTAGAAAGCAGGGTCCCAGAAGATGGAGGCACTTCCAGCCATCCTTGGTGCAACTGCCTATTCATGTCTCGATTAACCTGACTGGCCAACACAGTTTTCAGCCTTTTCTATGCTGGGGATGAGATTTGTGAGTCTCACCTTTTAGTCTGTCATCTGTATAACTACACGGTTTACTGTTTCAGCCTATATCTACAAAGCAAAGCACTTAAGCTCTAGGCATGCAAACTGGCCCAATGAAGTTAGTGTTCAAGTGCTGTGCTAGATGGACACCTACATTAGCAAAGGCTGAATCTTACCCTCCCCGGGCACTGGTGTCCCATGGTGGGATTGCAACCAAAAGTGTGCTGGGCTCTTACCTCCCACTTGGTTTCTTCAATCTTGGGAAGAAACTCAGCCTGCTCTTTCTTGAACGCCACAAATTTTTTCTCCAGCTCTTCTCGCTGCTGGAGAAGCTGTGCCACATCATCTTGGAGCTTCTTCTTCTCCTGCTGGAGCTTGAAAATTTGGAGTTGCAAGGCTTGCTGAGCCCTTTGGGCCTTCTTGGAGACCTGCTGCAGTTTGTTTGCATAATTTTGCCTGAGGTCCTCCATCTCACGCTCCCAAATCTTTTGCTTCTCCTCGAAAACCTGGAGGATAGCAGCCTCACTTTTGTCTAGGTTTCTTCTCATCTGGAGGACCTCCTGTTCCTTTTCCCAGAGCCTGTCTTCCAGGTCTTGGATAATGTCGTCTGTCGAGGGTGAATGGAAAGGCATTGTTTCATTAAGATGGTTGAGTCTATTGAAGGAAGAAGTGCTCTTGCTCGAAGACCGGCCGCTGTCTGAGGTAGATATCCCATTGTATCCCACAATGTTCTTATCCACATAGGTTGTGCCAATGCGGTTGATGTGACTCGTTGAAGCGCTCATGGGACCAACGTGTTGGCTGTAGCCTGTCCCGTAAGTGGGCAAGCTGGTCAGAGAGTTACGGCCAGAATCAGAAAGCCCTCCCACTTGGTTTGTAGTCCTATTCAGGCTGGTCTTGTCAAGCCCACTTTTGACCACAGACGGGCTATTGCTGTTGGTGTGATTCAGGCTCTTCCTGTTCTCTGCCACTCCATTGTTCTGCGGCGGGCAGAGGTTCTGCATGGAATGGAAGTTTTTAGGAACTACTGGTTTAAAGGCTGAAGGTCTAACTAAGGGCTCATTGCTCTGCAAAGGAAAAAAGAATCTCACATCAAACACAGGAGGTGATGTTCTAACAATACACAAAACAGCATGCAACAGTCAGGGTCAAGCCTGAATCAGGGTAGCTCTAGAGCAGGGGTGGGCAAAACATGGCCCGGGGGCTGGATCTGGCCTGCCAGGCCATTCTATCTGGCCTGTGGGGCCCCTAAAACATTTAGAAAATTTAATATTTATTTGCTCCTGACTGCCTGTCAAAGATGATAGGAGCCAGGGGCAGCAGGACCCAGGGGAAGCTGGCAGCAGGACCCAGCATCAAGGCAGCCCAGCTCTGCTCCCCCAACTAGAAGAGGCTTCTGGCCTGGGACCGTGGGGCTGTTCCTGCTTTCCTGCACTGGACAGGGAAATGCGGCCCTTGACAGCTTGCCAAAACTTACTAAGTGGCCCTCTGCCTGAAATAATTGCCCGCCCCTGCTCTAGAAGCTTTGCTATGGTTGATGGAATAACACTGACTTTACCTCTCTCAGAGGTAAGTTAGCCCCTGTACCTTCCACTCATCACTTTTAAATAAAAAGTCATTGATTTTTAGGCTTAATATTGGCCTCAGGACGTCCTGGCTCCCAGGCATGTTCTTAAAGCACTCTGCTCCCCTGTCTCTAACACCGAAGTGAATAATGATTCCTCTGTGAAATCCTATGAAATACGAACTTTCATTTCTACCCAGGAGAACTTTTACAATCTTTTCTCCAATGCCTGATGAAGGGTGTTGGTGCCCGAAAGCTTGCAATTAAAGACAGTTTTTTTTGCAAAAATCTTGTTGGTCTAATAAAAGATATCATCTCTAATATGAGTCCTGATTGCCTTAATGATTCCTCCTACATTTCTATGGTTATCCTTTGACAGTCTATTACAATTCCCTCTGTAAGAGAGGAGGCACCATCTTACTCTGAGTATGGGCCTGGACATTAGTCTGGACACTGATTATTCAGAATTATCTGTAAGCTTATTTGTTGCAATGCATTTGGTTTTGAAGGACTTTACTCAATAAGGGCATGTTTTTAAAAGGAATCTAATCCATTTTATTGAAAACTAAGCAAGCCCTTGGATTAGTGCAGAATAACAGTTAATAATACCATTTATCTACTCTGAGCAGAGCCAATGAAAAGCCCAGAGGAGTCAACAGTATTGACTTTAATGGACTGGAGAGCATACTCACATGGAGCCTTTCATGGGATGATTTCAAAGCACTTCAAACCCCAGCACAGCACAGAAGGGAGGAATGGCTTTTCCATGGACTCAGCAATGCCTGACTCAGAAGCATTCAGTTCCCCAGTTGCCAATAGTCAATTCTCCTCTACATGGAAACTAACTTACATTTATGCAATAGTTGGGTGACCCTAAAGAAAGGGAGTTCTCATTTTCTTCCACCTGTGAAGGTGCCTAGGAAACTCACGATTCTTTCTAACAAGGGATACGAAAATGGGGTAAATTTTCCTCATTTTTTTCCAATTCTTAAGGAGATAAATCTTTGAGGGGAGTAGGAGAGAGCTTTGAATGGGACTGTAGGTGAAAAGTAACTCAGAAAAACCATCATCGAAGACCGATTCATCATAAAGATAGACTTAGCCCCAAGCCTTGAAACCCCAGCATTGAAAAGGTCAAGGTCAGACAGCAGTGATCTGGAGCCTGCCCATATGACCTGCTGGAAGGCATCACATCAGCGCCCCTGGAGAATGTGCTCCTTTCTAAGCTGAAGGGGCTGGCACGGCTGCTCCCCTAATGCTGCCCTTACCCTCTGGAGCCCCCCAGACCAGCTCTATAACTGTGTGAATGGTCACTCATTTCAGTGGGGTTTTGCTGGTTTACACCTGCTAACGATCTGGTCTTTTGTTTCCAGGGGGCATTCAGGGTATATGGCTCCTTCCATCCTTCACAAGTCTGCCCCAAGTACCAATGAATGGGACCGCTTACCATGGCAGTTTACATCTTGTGGGCATTTGTGCACTAGGAACTCAACGGAGACTGCACAAAGGCCTCCAGACAGCAACATCTGCTCATTTGCTGGTCTGGGAGACTTGGCAGGGAAAGGTGGCCAGTCCCTTGCGTTCCTCCAAGCTCCTCCAGTCTCCTGAACTGGCCAAACAATCCCAGATCTGGGTGCTCTTTATTCCCTTGAACAAAGTCTTCCCAAATTGTGTCATTAGAGTCACTTTAAGCAGGTGCCACCAGGCACCAAGGTAGGAAAGCGTCTTACCTGGTCCAATTTCCCAGAGATCGGCAATATCTTTGGTGGATTACTGGGTTCTCTGTACTGGGGAGGAGGTGGCATGTTCTTCTCGTTATTGGTGGTCACGTTCCCACAAATGTCTGTCTTCAGCTTCTCACTCTTGCGTAAATCCCCGTTGATGTAGAGAGAGTTGGAGATCTTCTCAGTCTTGTACGTCTTCTCCTCCCCGGAGTAACGGTTGGAGATCTCCCGTGTGGAATAGCCATTTCGAGAGCCATCTGCCTGCCTGCTGCTGCTCTGAGTCCTGGTCCCCACGCTTTTCATGGCAAACTCCTGCTCATTGGCGACGCCGCTGCCAACGCTTC